TGCCTTCTACTATCATGTTGCACCTTCCCAAACCTTGTAATGGCCTTTTATAAACTTATTAATGTGTCGCGCAAGCATTCCATGTGCACAACTTGATTCCCTGGTATTTGCAGTAAACGAAATGGCCCCGCACGGCTACTCCAAAACCCGAAATGTCAAAATTTTACATTTTTGAGTTTGTCCAAACCTTCTCCAAACTTCTCCAACCTTCTAACACTTCTAAATGTCATTTTTTCGAAAATTCGTCAAATTATGCATAAACGTACCACCCACGCGTGCCACATGCCTGCACTTGTTGACAACCAGATGGACTATGAGATGCGAGTGGTGCAAATTGAAGATGATAAAGTGGCAACGTTCATGCACCAAATGATTCCCCATCATGCCAATGCTGTGAACATGGCCAAGGTTCTCCTAAAAAATGGTACGAATTTTGCACACGCGTGTGTATATCTGTCATCTGCACTGGTTCTACGGATCCATCTTACAGCATGGATTCGTGACAGTGAAGAGGAAAAAGATAGACCCACCTGCACAGGGTGTGGGGTGACGTGCCCCGCCCCTTGCTTGGGTGATGTGCATGTATGCATGGCATTCAGGATTTCGCATATTTCTCAAAAGTGATTCAATGCTCCTTGATAGGCGTGCCATGGTTCCGTAATTTTCATGGATCATAGGGGTTCAATTGGTGATGGGCGTGTGGGCCCGGTAGTTGTGTCGTGGGGTGTTGCATGGCTGCAGGCGAATTCTCGGGCTCTGAGTCTGACGAGGAAATCAAGATGATGATGCATGACATCATCCGTGTTCAGAACTATCAGATAACCTTCATGAATGGCTATCTTGGAGGCGCTACTGGAGCAATTTGTGACGAGTCTACAGGGAAGGCAGTGACGACAAGGAAGCTCCAGTCTGCTCACGTATCTAGAAAGAAAGCAAACCGCGGGATCCGTGATGGTAAGAAGATGAAACCCCGGGAAATGCGGGAGACTTCGTCAACTACTTTCAACCTAAAGTGGGATTATACTGTGGGTGAATTTGGCTACTACATCATCGATGGCTATGATGGCGTGTCTCCAACTATCACGATGGAAATTGGAACAACCTACACGTTCGATCAACAGGATTCAACAAACTGGTGTGTTCTTTGTGCTGAGTGTGCGCTCATGTGTTCCAGTTACGCCCCGGATGTCCACATGTGATGCACAAAATTCACATACCCTGCATTGACTTTGGGATTCCTCTTTATTCCGCATATCGTGGCGTTTCTCTTCGCTCCATTCTGGTTATCAATGTTGTATCTTGGGGATGATGATTGCGATTGTGTAGGTTCCATCCTATTGGATTTGCATATTATCCTGATGGAGCTCACGATGACAAGAGAGAAGTTGAACATAGCGGATTGGTGGTAAGCTGTCCTTACCAGAATGACCATTTGCTGACCACCACCATTGGCATGAAATTAGAATTGGCGTGCGTGTGGCTGCTATCAGAATCCATGCACTCGAGACTACTGCTCGTCTATGACAGGGCCCAATCTTGATTCCGGTTGTGTATAATCGAGCGACTTCTTTTGAACAGCTAGTTGTGTTGCGTGTGGTATACATGGTGGAACACATGTTGGCACACATGAGCACACACTGTAATGTGTAACAATGTGCCGTAGTCTTGGTTGTGAGACCCGTCCGTACCCATCTTAGTGCTTTGTTTCATTCAAATACCATTTCTGGTGGGGCATCTCCCGTGCAGTATTTTAAGGACGATGTAGCGTTGTCCAGTACAGCCGATGGATATGACTCGGGATTGGACTCTTATGAACCCGACTTCTTCTATCCTAGTGAGGTGCGACGTATGCATGGTGTGCGTTGCACACATGCAAGCGATAGCCATGATGGCCTTCTATTGACCAGAGCCATCCATTGCCCTACTGACGATGATTTAGGTTTCACTAGCTCGATTGGCCTTTCGCACTTAGTTCTGCAGTGGCACTCTTGCTGAATTGATAATTTCCCCTGCCGTTGGATTCACCGAGCACCGGGAGATAACATGCCATGCTGTTCGGCTCAACTGTCAATTGTGCTTGCTGAACTGAACCGAGGGCGACAGAGCCAACCGCGGCAGAAAAACATATCACAGCCGTGCATACTAACTGCATGTGTTGGCATTCGTATTGCTACACAATGTACTTATCAGGGGTTTGCACTTGGCATAACCTGGTGCATGCAGTGGTGGGAGTCAAAAGATTACAAGGCCACCTTGACCATTACTGAAGAGGACTTGGCCGACTTCCCCTCCGACACATGCTACGACCTGTTTTATTTTTGCCACATTCACAGTGGCATGAGCGGCCGCATTCAACTAACTCGAAACGGTACTGTTGTATCATGTGCGGATGGCTCCGGGCGAGCTGAGGTATGCTTCCATGTGGCACTCCCCCACGCACGGTCATCCTGATAATTCGATGACTGCGATGCCTTGCTCCCATCATCGATATGCTATTAGCATATTTGCATATATGCAGAGCCTAGCTCCCATCGATCATTGATATGCTATGTACAGTCTAGCTCCCATCGTTGATATGCTATGTACAGCCTGGCGCCCATCGCTGATATGATATGTAGAGTATGGCTCCTATCCATCGTTGAGGTACGAGTGCATGTAATTCCATGAATAGTTTGTATGTGCAAACATCTGAAGCTGTTGTGACCTGTATCTCCATATGACTTGTATGTACAATGGTCACCAATGAAGCGGCCACCTGAAAGCACTGCGCTGGAGCCAACAGTAATAGAGTCCAAAGCAGATGAAGGGGCTCTTGCACTGCTACTGCAGCAACAGAAGGTCTAAAAACATTGTTGAGTTTGGTGTGCATGCTCGTCCCTCTCTCCAATCGGCATGTGCAGGTGGAGCTTTACCAACCATACTCACCAAGTGGCATTGACGTGGATTGTGGCACATGGGAGATAAATAAATATGCTGAAGCAAACGACTACTCTACATATTGCCCGGACCAGGTTTTCCTATGTAACACGAACGATCAAAACACATTCGATCAATGCATGATCGCTCTGGATTGCAAGGTATGTATGCACGATGTGTTCCCCAGCTATATATGTAAGGTAGAACATCTCCTCACATGCATACCTTCTCTCTATTAGGGACTGAGGGCCTAGAGCAGGATAGTGGAAGGTATCCACTATCATCTTGTCAGGTTACAGAAGAGGGTATTGCCGAATATCAGCTGTCTGTCTCAGAAGACACATATCTTATCCAGGGGCTTGCACGCCATTTCGCGCTCCAATGATTGGCATTCATCTATCCGGGTTATCTAGAGATTCAACAAAGATTCGTTGTGGCATATCATCACCTTTTAAGGATGAAGGGAGCGGTATGCATGCCAAGTTCATTTTCGATGTGTTTAGGGCAGGTTGAGGGTGCAGATTATGCGGGCGGATGGATCGCTGGCTGCAGTTTTGACCCCCTTCACACCTCGTCAGCGGTTTAGCGGTCGGGGAAAATATCGTGGGTGGGTGTCGTGCTCTTGACCCGCCTCGTTGTTCCAGTGACAACGGGGGATTTGGGATGGTCGTAATTTAAAACAAGAGTGTCAAGTCTGTCGACCGTGTTTCATACAACAATATATGAGAATGTACAACATATATTCAAGGCATCGTTATTATCTATTACACTAATTCTATTATATAAATCCAATTTCTGAATTTTGAGTGAGATTTTGCGATGTTAGTGAAATCTGCGAATTTCTGTGACCAGTGGCAAACAATTTTGCCCACTGGCGATGACCATGTCGGGTGGCCACACCTTTCCGTTGGCTGCTCACTAGTCTGCTGCCCGCTAAGAAATCTGCCTCCCTACCAGCGAAGGTTTCGGTTGCCGTTGGTGTAAGGAAGAATCCTACCCCACCGACGGTTGTTTAGTAAAACCCAATTTGCACCTCTGAGGCAGACCACTAGCGTTTAAATCTAACACTGTAATGTGGGGCTTTTTGCAATCTTTATTCCTTGCAGATGAAGTATGAGATGCGCGTTCAGACTACTGGTGATAGCGACATCGCAACCTTCATCCATCAGATGATTCCTCATCATGAAAACGCTGTCAATATGGCCAAGACATTGCTGCAGCTGCATACCTTCGATGAAACTAATGAGGATGATGCTGAAGTGCTCAATTTGTTGCATGGCATTATCAATAATCAAAACTACCAAACCAATGTTATGCGTGGGTGGTTGGATGGTAACGGTATGTCATCGCATTATGATGCGCATTGTGACAAGCAAACCTCATCCTCTGAAACCACACCAAGTCCACCCGATGATAGTGCAGCAAATGCCAAGCGCAGTGGGTGGCTTATGTTAATTGCGATGCTGTTTCTACATCAAGTAATTTTCAATTCCCCCCGGAGTGCTTGGCAATCCCAAATACACTTAGTGACCATCGCCATCGTATTTCTGTTTTCAAAGTTAATACAATTTGATTTCAGTCAGGGTATTTCTGTAGACGCTCTTTTGGACTCTTAGGACACTTCTTGTAAAATTATCCTGTAATTTGCAATTTGGTGAATTGGATATTATATATTCGCTTAGATATGGTATTTTCCTACCTTATTTTCAAAAGTTTCAACTTTTGGGAATCTGGGAGTGGGATTTTCAATACAATTCAAGAGGGAGTGCAACTAGTTTGGACACTAAGACTAATTTTCTTTTAGCAAAATACAAATTCAGAGAAAAATATAAAACGAGACTCCAGTGCATCGCGATGAAGGATACCATCGCATGGCGTGCGGATCATGTGATATAGTGAGACGTGGGGTTCTGAATCTCGACTGGAAACTCCAATGGCTAATCGATAGACTATCTCGATTTATACCTTGAATCATCACAAAACGAGATGTGAATAATTAAGTAATAAGTATGGGCAATGCCCATCGGTAGGGGATCACCAAATGCAGTATCGTGTCGTGAGTCATACACAATCATTTACCCAGCGTGTGTGTAGCTCAGTGGTGGAGCGCTGTGCTCCATGCACGAAGGGCATGGGTTCGATTCCCTTCGCATACTGATATTATGGGATCGTATGAAGATTCCAGATGTGGAATTGGTGCGGGAGAGACCACGGTGTATACGTCTCGATCCTAGTGACCGAGCCAGTGACCTAGGACAGTGACACCCGCTATCGGGTCATCAGCTGTCATCAATGGAACCTGACATGTCACTCTGTCACTCCCTGTCACGGTGAGCACTCTCACACACCACCCAGTTGATACATTGCAGCTGGGGGGCAGTATCAGTAATTTCATTAAATGGCAATTTTACAAAAAGTGTCCAAAGGGGCACAGTCCGGGTCACGAAGTAACAGTAATAGGGAGGCCTGTTCATACTGGCAGGGCGGTCCCACTAGTGCTAAGCCAGATATACTGATCAGTCAGAGATACAAAAACCAAAACAGATAAACAAACAGCAGAAGGTGGAAACGTTGCTAAGGCGGGGGGGCTGTGCTCATCGGCCAGGGCTGCCCCTCTAGTGAACTGCTAGGATGGGTGTCACTAATCCGTGTACAGGGGGGCGCGCACTCCTCCACGTGGTCCCCCTGGAAACTCCCGGCCCGTTTTGGGTTGGGTGAGCTGAACGTGCGCATCAAGGGGTTGGACCCAGTCGGCGGGCTGGGGAACGCACACGACCTATTCTTAGGTTTCCCCGGCGGCCCACGGTGCGATGCTGTGAGGCTGCTGTGTGCGCGGCCGGTTTGGACCGCCTGGTTGGCGGCTGGTCCACCGGTCCCTCGTCTCCCGCGAGGCTTCTTCACTCCACGCGATTGGCGTGCTGTTGGGCCCTTCGGGGCGGGTGTTGATGAGATGAGGCCGCCCTCTTTCTTGCGTTTCTTTGAGGGCGGCGGGTGTTCGTGAGCATGGGCTGCTGGAACCCCTGTGACTCAGAGTTCTGGCGGGTCTTTGTTTGTCCCCTTTTGCTTGGCCTCGTGTGGGCGGTGGCGGCGATTGGCCGATACGCCTGGGAGGGTTGCGGCGGTGGTTTGGAGGTGGGGATTTGGACCTGAGGGATTCTGTGGATGTTGCGGGGAGCGCCATGTTTTGGTGCGCAGACCGTAGGTTCATGATGGCACCTGCTGTTGTGTCGCTTGGCGGCGCGGCGGCTGCGGGGTTTTGTTGCTTTTCGGACGGTTAGGAACCAGCCCACCGCATCCAAGATCAGAGGACAGAAGACCCAAGAGAAAGTGGCCGTCGAGCCGTCATCCGCCACCACACCGGTAGGCGGCATGCTACACATGGAATGCCCGCACCACTCCTCCTCCACTGGTCGGAAGAGCGGCCCAACATACAACCGCCGCCCCATGTCTGGCGAGGGCCGGGGAGTGCCCGACACACCAGCGAAACCCATCCGGTGTACCTGCTCTGCATCATCCACCCCTGCCTCGGCACCCAAGCCCGCCGTGGGCACCGCCCCCGGCGTACGAAGCAAATCCGCAAGCCCCTCGGGCACTGGCGGGGACTGCAACACATCCAGAGGAGCCGGTCTGCACACAGACGGCGAGACCTCCGCCTCGGGCGAGTTCCTAACCGTCCGAAAAGCAACAAAACCCCGCAGCCGCCGCTGCCAAGCGACACAACAGCAGGTGCCATCATGAACCTACGGTCTGCGCACCAAAACATGGCGCTCCCCGCAACATCCACAGAATCCCTCAGGTCCAAATCCCCACCTCCAAACCACCGCCGCAACCCTCCCAGGCGTATCGGCCAATCGCCGCCACCGCCCACACGAGGCCAAGCAAAAGGGGACAAACAAAGACCCGCCAGAACTCTGAGTCACAGGGGTTCCAGCAGCCCATGCTCCCGAACACCCGCCGCCCTCAAAGAAACACAAGAAAGAGGGCGGCCTCATCTCATCAACACCCGCCCCGAAGGGCCCAACAGCACGCCAATCGCGTGGAGTGAAGAAGCCTCGCAGGAGACGAGGGACCGGTGGACCAGCCGCCAACCAGGCGGTCCAAACCGGCCGCGCACACAGCAGCCTCACAGCATCGCACCGTGGGCCGCCGGGGAAACCTAAGAATAGGTCGTGTGCGTTCCCCAGCCCGCCGACTGGGTCCAACCCCTTGATGCGCACGTTCAGCTCACCCAACCCAAAACGGGCCGGGAGTTTCCAGGGGGGCCACGTGGAGGAGTGCGCGCCCCCCCAGGTGGTGGCGGTGCACGGAACAGCACCGACACCGTAGCAGCATCGTTGATCCCGCAGGCAGAAAGAAGCACAATGCAGAGTAGTGCGGTTGTGAGAAAGATGTCGCTGCCAAATGGCGCAGCACCAACACCACGGCGCGCGAACGTAACGCGTGGTGCGGATGTGGTGGTGTCGTGCTGTGCTGCAGCATGTGGTGCAGCGCGCGCATTCTGCGGCGGCGGAGAGGGGTCTTCGTCGTCGGTGTCGTCCGCCAGGATGTCCGTAGCTTGCTCGTGCTCAGTAGAGAAGAAACCCATGGACAGTGCACCAATCACGGGAGCACCACCGTCCCCGTGGCCCTCCACTACCAAGTCAGTGAAGAGACGAGAGGTAGAAGGGATGCACGGACCGAGGAGTGGTTCCGCAGTGGAAACCAGGTAGATGAGCGCTAAGCACGCTTGATGGGGGCTGTCATTCATTTTCGGGGCTCGATAATCGTGAAAGGCTCCTTAGGTCCAATTGCACCCAAGGCCATATAAACCTTCAGCGTCAAAGCTACGAAGGTTGGAGGAGGTCAGGGGTTGAATCCAAGATAGTTTGGGGGTTGTTTAACTTAATTTTGGTGAGGGGGTGGCAAGGCATTCGGGAATTCCAAGGCTTCTTCATGTGAGATTGAATGGGGGTGGCGGTCATAGGTGAGGAGGGTTCAGGTGCTCCACGAG